CACACTGGGGACATATCATTTAATGAACATTTACATGTTTCAGACCAAGCTGAGCAGATGATTAAATATCTAAGCCTGATCGTTACATACCTGCTGGTTCAGTGAGGACACTCTCAAATAGAAACATTACTAAGCTAGAAAGATGTCAGCTGGCTATTAATTACTGTGCGCACAACATTTAAAAGAATGGGGCAGCTTCTTACCTACAACTTCACCCAATTTGAGTCCTATTTCAAGATAATAAATGTGATAGCAAACAAACAAGGAACATTGACAAAGAAAGTAGGTTCTTCAGCTGTAAAATTTGCAAGGTGAATTTTTAAAACAGGCTCCACTTATTTCATATCTGATAAATATTTAGGTGTAAGGACAAAAGGGAAATATTTCAAAATGGAACGTGGTATGAACGGAAACATTAATGGCCTGAAAACTGGAAAACCTTTCTTGCTCTTTTTATTTCTAGACTTGCAATTTAATGGCTATGCACCCACATCATTATAGTTGTTGTATATAACAGCAACAAATATTCCTTTTTTTTTTTTTTATTAAAAAAAAAACATTGAAATCAGTTTTCTAGAAATTTTTTTTTTTTTTTGGGGGGGGAGGGTTGGGAGGCGGCCAGGTGGAGGGGAGGCAGCATTCGTTATATTTCTGACTATGCCAGAAATGTCCCGAGTTCAAGACACCTTAGGATGGAGTCCAGTGCATATTTAGACATTAAAAGTCCTACAACTGTAGCAGTCTACAGCCAAAGAATGCAGGATTGAGTTGAGGTTCCCTAGCAATGGAAAATTTGCAACTTTTTCAATGTTGGAGAGTAACATGCAAAATGTCCTTATTTTGTGATAGTTTTAGCAGTTTTATCTTTGTTCTTGCTATTTTCAATGCATGTGCTGTCTGGGTCAGTGAGGACTTCATAGTACAGACTGTGAAAAATAGCTTGCCAGTTAATGAAAGGCCTGATAAATTTTAGTCTTGACAAAATATGACTTATATGAAATAATGCACATAGCTAAATTTATTTCATAGCTCCATGAATTCAAAACAAATTTATTGCTATTCCATATTATAAGGCTTATTATAAGCTGCTGCTTCTGAGTTTCTTTATATAATATTGAAAACAAAATACAGCTCAGAAGCTGAAGACAAACCTTATGCTGCACTGCATTATTTCATATGTCCATAGATTTTGAAAAAAAGTTAAAGAACTATCAAACAAGAATTTAATAATCAGTTTTATTTCAAAGACACTTTTTTTTTCAATAATTGAGATAACTAATATAGACACTTCAAGGGAAGATAAATAGTAAATTTTGGCGTTCTATAATGAAATTATTTGGGGAGTATTTTAAAACTGATGGGAAAATTGCAATAGTGCTAGTTTCCTAGAAGCCCCCGTTTGACAGTACTATTACTGGTTGTCTAGGACAGGTTCTGGCATCTTCTTCATTCCTTCAATATGTGGTCTGAACTTGACTTCTAGTACTCAAGAGATTTCCAGAAGAAATTCTGCTTTAGTTTGAGTGAACTTTGTGCCAGTAAAGATGGATGACGGCATGCTTTCCTTGCCTTCAAATATATTGTCATGACAAATCAGAGCCAGCTTATAACAGATCTTCCATTTTGGTTAGTTTATATAATCAGCACAATTTAGTTCTAAGCTGGATTGCTCCATGACAAATTCACCCCAGCACATAACTACTTTGTAAAGCTTTTTCTTCACTTTTTTCCTGACTTGGTTGTTTTCATATGTAAGAGGCCTGGAATCAGAACTAGCTGTGTGTAACTGAGTTGGTGGAAGAGTTCCCACACTCCTGGTCCCACAACATGCTATATAGAGAGCTGAAGAGGGTGGATTGTGGTGCATGGGGAGACTCCCCCAAATCAAGCAGAGACAACTATGAACAAAGTTCTTCTGTCCAGAGAAAGCAGACTCTGGATTAAACTCAGGGCTTATTACTAAAAGTTTAAGCATGTAACCTTTAATCAGCAAACTAAAATGGTATAGTCCAAAGCTCTTCCATTTGATTATGCTACTTGTATAAGCAAACACTTACTAAGCTCCACTAAATGGGGTATCGTAACATTTGTTGTCATTGCGCCAAGCTACATAAATGTTAGTGTGATAGCCTACATGCAATAATTTCCCCCTCGCATGAAATTTTATTGACATAGGAAATTTATCACATTTGATTAGCCATACAACTTTGATAGTTCTTTGACCAAGTTACACATGCACTGAGAAGCTAATTCAGTCTATGATATTCTTTTATCATATAGATGCATGTATGCTTTAACATTACACTAATCACTAAGCAAAGATGAAGAAAGGAAAATTTAACTGGGAGAAATCCAATACAGTATACACAGCATTCACTTTTCTTATCCAACCCAGTGCTTTCCAGATGTTTTGGAAACCCATTTGTCCTAGACCAGTGGCCATGCCAGCTAGAAATGACATTAACTATAGACCCAAACACCTGGAAGGTACCAACATGGGAAAAGCTGCTTTACTGTACACACTTGGTTTAGAGTCATCCCCATTCCATGCCATATATTTCTAAATAAACATGTATTGGATTATCATGTATGTTTTTTGTCTGAGCATAAATAAAAAGAAAAATGTAGAATAGAATTAAAACACCTCCACAAAGGTTAACCATTTTTCATGAAATGTTCATTTTCAAAGGCATATGCCTAGGAAACTTTGGTCAACTTTAAAAGACTGCCTTTTCTAAGTAGATTCTTGGGTCAACTTTCTAATGCGCTCCTTAGAAATCTTCAGTAGTGCCTATTTTGTATACAATTATTAATATATTTTATTAATTTAGTGTTGGCAGGTAACAATACCTTTCATGGAATAAAAACGAAAGATTACTGTGCAAAAATAAATAATTATTTATTATTTACTACTTATTGTATCGTTTTATTGTTTTTATTGGTTATTGGTTTTAATGTTGTAAGCCAGCCTGAGACATTCTCGTAAAGAATGGCATACAAATGTTTTAAATAAAATAAATAAATAAAATTATAAATAAATAGAATGTCATACTGTCATTATTCTGATTCAGAATTGTTGCATAGCAATATCAATATATTTACATAACAAGAAGTTAGGTATTTCAAAATCCTTTCAAACATACAGTTTCAGACAAATTGCTAATTTATGCCAGATAAAATTCAAATGATTATTTCTTTTCCCATACTTAAGTAATTTTTTTGAAAATAATTTGATAATAGTCTTTAAAAACTTTAAGTGCTATGGTGCAGATCTGTCTGCATCAAAGAAGGTACTGCATTGATCAAACCTTTAAACTAAGTATTTTGTCTAATCTAATTTACAAGAGCTGGGCACAGCTGTCAAGGACAGCACATGTTGGAGCGGATTAATTCATAGGGTTGTCATAAGTCAGAGATGACTTGACGGCACATAACGACAATGGTAGCATAACTGTTAAAACAAATGTGTGATTGAAATATAATACTAGTAACAATATTATGTTCTGCTGTACAAATACTTCTAATCAAGCTTAGTAGATGTAGAAAATAGTTTATGTAAACTGACTTGATAGTTCTACATACTTAATGATCAAAATGCCTAGAGCTGAGGAAATTTAAGACCGGACTCGGTAAGAGAGGAGTTAACCATAATATTAATGAGGCACCAAGCTGAACAATTTATGACCCATCCAGTTAAATACAGTCCACCCATCACGCACTGAGGCTCTCCCGTTTCTTGATAATACCTGTGTTTGCAGGCATGGAAACCAGGAGATTTATTGGCTTTCTAGTGGTCAGCCACAAGGCTTATAGGATAAATGCTACCTGTTGCAGGAAGGGTGTTTTAAAAAGAGAGAAACTGCAACAGGAAAAGAGAATACAAATGGATACAAATGAATACAAATATGCATATATGTATATGCATATTTACATACATAGGTTAAAATTTAGAGATGTATCATTCAAATGCAAATATGATACATCTTGCTATAACAGAGAAGACTGACAAGCTGACTTGTGTGTTTGCTCAGTCTTCTGCCCAGGAACCTACTGTTGAAGGGCAACTTCAACTTTCCTCTTTCCTGGTGATTCTTTAAATCTGACTTGGACTGAATGGCCAACTAAACAGAGGACAGTTTCAAACAGACTACTATCCTCTTCCAGATTTCCAAGACTGGTATCTATAAAATAGGATGCCTGGCCAGCTTAACTTCTGCTCATTTTCTCTTGTACTCTTGGGGAAAAAAGACACAGAATTCTCCAGAATGGTGTAGCTGGAAATATCTTGGTTGCTATTAATGATGGTACTTATTTATTTATTTTAAAATATTTATACCCCGCCCTACACGCAAAAGCATCTCAGGGCGGCTTACAAAAATCAGAAACAGATAATTTAACAAGTAGCAATAATTAAATATACACACAAAACCAATAACAATTCACAAATGAAAGAAAATCAAAACAAAATCAAGATCAAAAAACAAAACAAAACAAAACCAAAAAGCCACTGTGAAGTTAAAACCTGATTAAAATTCCTAACAATTAAAATGATGGGCAAATAAAAAGGTATACCATTTCCGCAAAAATAAGACCTAACCAGAAAATAAGCCATAGCATGATTTTTCAGGATGCTCGTAATATAAGCTCTACCCCAAAAATAAGCCCCAGTTAAGATCGTCAGCCAGACGGATGCATTTAGTACGTCCGTTGCAACACAATTTGCGGTTTGGAGAGGCATGACGATGTTCCAGAAGATGACATGACTGTATTTGAATAAATGTAGATTTTTGTACATGAATAAATGTAGACTTCTGTACATGAAAAAATAAGACATCAACTGAAAATAAGCCCTAATGTGTCTTTTGGAGCAAAAATTAATATAAGACCTGGTCTTATTTTTGGGGAAATACAGTAGTAGAAAATTTGCTCTGACAAACAACTTCATCACAATAACAAATAAGGGACTTCGCATGTGAAATAAGCAATGATAGCAGATCCTTTCACCATGGTCTTGCTAAAAAAAACACATTTTTGAACTCAGGTGAACATTTGTATTTGCCAGGAGAAGTCTGAACACAAGCCAAGTTGGGTAGGCATGGACAGGTGTGATGTTTTCTTTGTCCGTCAAATGGAACCTAGAAAAAAATATTTAAAGTTAAAGAAACTAAGGAGAACACTGAGCAATAAGTAGTTTCAGCACCAATTGTTAATGCTAAAATTTCTACACTAATATCAAATGGCACATGGGGAGGCAAAACAACATCCTGCACTATTTTCCATATTAAAATTGTTAACTGCATACTGCATACTGATCTTCTCTGCACTAAATTTCCACCACAAAATAGTTGATTAAGGAGGCTCCACTTTTTAAAAAGTTCTAATCAGGGTGGATAAAATTCAATGATTTTTAAATAAAAAATCAGATTTTAAAAATTTAAATCAGATGTTTTGATTTAAATTGGATTTTAAAATAAAATGCATTTTGAAGAAAAAATGTCTAAAGATAGTTTGCTATTTAAGATACATTATAGTCCAAAGGTTATTCATCATGAAATAAGGATTAGTTTTTAATGATGTAGCATGAGGCTGTATATTGATGCAACATTTTAATTTTTTGGCAAATGAATTCCATTAATCCATTCAGAATTACATGCTCTTACAGAGGTTTCTGTAGGATTACTGGGCAATTTTTCTGTCTAGAAGATATCACTGATGCTTCATTTTACCGTTCTCAAAGCTGTGAATTAGTGTCTGCAGAGAACACTGCCTCTTCTTCACAGCAAAAAAGTTACAAAATAAACCTACAGAGTTGGGAAAAAGACCTTAATCCCATTTTCTTTTGCAAATTCGTGCACACAGAATCAACCCTTACCTCTTAACTGTGAAATTTCAAAAAATTCAGTGAACAGAAGAAGATTGTTGGGAATGGAATAGATCTGCACAAGAAGCTAAGTGTGAGGAGGGAGGGGCAAGCAGTAAAAATGAAAATGAAACTTTTTGCGCAACCCTCCACAGGTCTTTGGATCTTTTTGTGTGAAGCCTGAGGTTTACCATATTATTCTTCCCCTGGAGGAGATAACCTATAATGGCAGCAGGCTGTAAAAGAGCCCGAATTTGTGAACATTTTAAAGAAGTTCTTACAAGTAAGACAGGCATGTGTGTAAATTATGTAGAAAACCATTATTTTAATATAGTCTTGCTGACTAGTGATTTAAATTGAGATTTAAATAATGATTTAAATCAAATTCACCCTGGTCTAATGTAGTTGGCAGTTGTTTTCCTACAGATGACATCTTGCTTCAAATTGCACCTTCTAACAGGGGCAGCTGTGTTTGTCATATTTTGGGAGAATAATAATTTCCTTTGCTTTAATGAATACAGTATTCAATATTTGGCTATACAAAATGAAAACATTCAACAGGATCACCTTGGGAACTGGGCACTAACCTACTTGTCCAAGCAGAATTCATTTTACTTAAATCATCTCCAACATTACTTTGTCAAGCATTCAGAACATTTTCTGTATGAAACACATCAGGAGTTTAGTATTTAAAATACAGAGTTCAGACTGGGGAAGGAAAATAAGCCACTGTAGCTTATTTTTCTGCCCTGTGTGTGCTGGCTACACACCACCAAATTACCATAATGCATAGTTAATCATGTCACCTGGCCCCAACCTTCACTTAGTTTTAATAACATGACAAACTGTCTGGAGAGAGTAATTATAGTAATTCTGTGGTACACAAAATGCATGTATGGGGTAGAAAAAAAGCTACACTGGCTTATTTTCCTTCCCTGATTATTTGAACCCAGTGACCACATTTCTTAGCATATGACAAAGTGAATCCAGAGAATGGGATAATGTCATTTACAGCACATTACAAATTCTTTATTATGTTTTTTTTCTTCTAGACTGATTTGGTATGTAGCAGGAACACTGTCGGAAAGGCAATCAGATCTGTGGACCTTCCTTTTCCAGTTGTGGTGTGTTAAATATTTCTACTTCATATTCTATATTTTGGACTGATTTGTCTCCCATGGTATATATGCTCAGTACAATAAAGGATGTGCTTCATAGTCCTATGGATATTCCCAAAAGATCTATCTATTGCAAACATTTAAACAAAGAACTAAATAATGGTGTTTCATGGTATTCTTAAAGAAGCCGCATTGTAGACAATGTTGTCACTACACCATGAATGTTAAAAATAACATTTTAGATACAACCCTAAAATATCTGGCTGGGGAAATGCTGGATATAATGGGAACTTTTTCTCTCTAAACCAGCACAAGATTGCACCCTTAAAAGCTTGTATGAAGTGTGCCTGTATACAAGGTAAGGGCACAGTCCTATGTCAATTTAAAGAGATATAAGGCCTACGAAGTCCAAGGCTTTCATTTAAATTGCTTAGCTTTGTGGCTTAAACTGACAATATGTTTCAATGAAATCAATGGTGTAGGTTGCAGGTGGCTTCAGTCCAATTAAATACAACTAACAACCTAAAATGTTAATAGAATTTCTTGAAATTAACAAAAAAATTAAAAGGGACTTGTTCAACAGGTTGTAGCAGTTTCAGAGCTAAGCAACAGCCATTTACCTAACCATCTATACCTTCTGGTACTAGAAGAGGAACTTTTGTCATGTTTATGTTACACAGTAATGATAGATTTTGAAAACATGACTTAGAACAGTGGTGATTAGGAGCAGGATGAATAGGAAGGTCATTGAGCTTAGAATGACTTCAGTATCTAAGCAGTGTGGTGGTTCAAATTCATTTTATGTAGTTAATATATAAAAAATAAGAAAAACTGTCTCATCTGTCTGGAAGAAAGAAAAGAAGAGGTTTGATTATCTGAAGTTTGTCTACTGAAACGAGTAATGGCTCTAGAAATCAATAGCATAAACCTGAGTTATCATAAGTCATTTAAAGGATACAAGAATATACTTTAAATGTAAAATACTGATTATGCAAGAAAACAACACTGCACCTTTTGAACTCATAGATATTTTACAGAATAGTACTGACAGTAATTTATTTATTTACGTAAGTTCTTACGATGCTATTTCCATAAAAAGACAAGTTCCTGGGTAATGTATAATTTTCCTGCACTTTTGCAATGGATAATATTTTATGCAGTTTGACTTACAACAAAATATATTCTTATTTCCTTCTACCCTGTCAGTTACAGTATCACACACAGTACCAGGATAGCATACTAACTTTATGACTCAAAGGATGACAATCTTCTCCCGAGCTGCCCAGTGGTGTACATATTCGTATGCTTCGAATCCAGAGACTAACAGCACAGCACATGCCTTCACCACACTGCAGATCTTTGTCACAAGCCTTAAATATAATAAAACAACACACAGTATTAGATAAACAAAATTTCTAAAAATATCCTAGGTTGTTCCATTACTGTCTCATATATCTAAAAGCTTGTATTTTTAAAAGACTTTGCTTACACAAGGAAACAGCAATGTTAGAGAAAAAAATCTGAGCAGCTGCCTGGATCTTAAATTATACTTTGGGTAATTCATATAACGTTCCTAAAACACAGTGATCTAGTCTAGTTTCGCAATCTTTTAATTCTTTAATTCTTCTTTTTGACAAGTGCAAATGATATATCAATTGTCTTATGCTGTCAGTTCAAATACTTGTTTTCTTAGTTTAAGCAAAGTTAACCTCTGACTTGAGTCCAGCTCAAGTCAAGCAGAGATTATTTAGTAATCCTTCATATGGATCCACGAAACATTATTATTTTGTATTAGTATCAAGGCCCAGTAGAATGACATGATGGGTCAGTCACTATTTTCCTTTTCCAAAAAAAAAAAAAAAAGCCATGGTAATGGTAACAGGTTGTCAGTGAGCCCTTATGTCATAAAAAAGGCATAGCAGATGGCATTTTCATGAAACAAGTTTAGTGTTAAGTAAACAACACTGCTGATCTAAACCAATAGTGCAGATTGAAAAAAATATTATGGTATGTGACAATCGGCCAGCTGTTTGTATTTAACCTATAAAAGGTCTCCTTGTTAGGGTACAAGTAAGATACTGCTACCAGAAGGCCTCTGATCACTTATGGATATAAGATTCCTGTGAAAAAACTCACTCAGTTGGGCCTACCAACCAAAGGCATACTCTCTTCTTTTTAACAGACAGAAAGCTCTTTAAATGTTTAATATTATTATAATATTGTTATATAAACCTTTACTTTCTGCAGGTATGGATATAACCAGTTATTGGATTTTGTTTCTCTGTATACTAAATGACTGGAATGTTCACTGGAAACTGTAAAACAAGAAAAGAAACAACTAAACATTGCAGTACTTGATGTAAGCAAACTAAAATGGACTGGAATGGGGCATTTTCACCAAGTGTTTGTCTGGAAATGACAAACTCAGTGGAAACAGTGTGACTAATACTGAAGCAAGATGTAACACAGGCAGTAAGGGGATATAATTAAAAGTCAAACCAAATACTATCAGTCAGAATTCCTGGAAAACCTAGCAACATAACCTACACTCCATTAACAGATTGTGTTAGTGAATATCAATTCTTAATATCAAAAATCAGAATCAAACTAAAAAAAATCACTAACAGCATCATAGTGCCAAAATGCAATTAAATAACATTTCTGAGGAATTTAAGGTCAGATTTCCATTACTGAAATCAATTGATGGTGAACTAGAAGAATTGTGGACTAAAACCAGAGAAGAATGCCAAAAGATAATTCCTTTGAAAAAGAGGAAAAAGCCTGTATGGATGACAGAGGAAACAATTCTTTAGGACAGGCATGAAGCAAAAGCAAAAAGTAATAAATAGGGTCAAAATGCTGAATGTAACTTTTCAGCAATTATCATGTAAAGACAAAAAGAACTATTCAAATGACCAGCACAAAGAAATAGAAGAGAACAACAAAGAGGAAAAACAAGAGACTTCTTCTAGATCCAAGACATCAAAGAGAAACCATACCTAGATTAGAATGCTGAAAGACCAACAGGGGAATGTATGATCAGACTAAAGAGAAGGTAGAAACAATATAGGAAAGAATGAAACAGAAGAGATAGACGACTGACTCCTTTGAAGAGGAATCCTGTGATGAGGTACCTGCAATATTAAAAGTGAAATGAAAGACACTCTGAAAACACCCTGAAAGGGCAACATACCCAGAGTAGATAGGGTACCAGTAGAACTATCCCAAGCTGCAGAGAATCAGTCCAAATCCTAAAAAAAAGGAACATAAAACAATGGCCCACAGACTGAAGACCTTTAATAATCCTTTAATAATCCCTATGAAAGGAGATGCTTGACATTCAACCTGGATTCTGAAAAGGAAGAGGCACGCAAGATCATACTCTGGTTTCTTTTCAGATCGTGTAAATCTTTCGCCTTTTTTATTAACATCATATTGCAAATCTATGTTGGCTACTAGAGTGAATCAGGAAATTCAGAAAATCAGTATGCTTTATTAGAAAGCAAAGCCTTTGACTTTGTGGATCACCAGAAGCCATTATGGATGGCTCTGAAAGAACTTGATTGTCCTAATATGTAACCTGTATCATGGACAAGAAGCTACCATTGGGACTGAATATGGAAAAACAGTATGGTTTCCTGTAGGCAAATATGTCAGACAAGGGTATATTTTATCTTGCCATCGGTTACATCTGTACACAGAACATATACAAAAAGCTGGGACAGAATCAGAAGAAGGAGTTGGATTGAAATGGTTGGATTGAAGACACTTCAATATTCTAAGATATGCATACAGACTATGGAATGTGCTCCACAGAGAGGTTTGCCTGGTGCTGACTATATATTCTTTTTGGCGCCAGGTGAAAACCTTTTTATCTGTCCACCATTTTAAGTGCTAGGAATTTTAATCTGGTGTTAACTATTTACAGTTGCATTTTGATTTTGTTCCTGTTTTTGATTCTGTTTTGATTTTGTCTTTATTTATGATATGTTATTGTTGATTTTATGTATATTTTAATTAATTGTTATTCTGTAAGCCATCCTGAGATGCTTTTGCATATAGGCTAGGGTATAAATATTTTAAATAAATAAATAGATAGATAGATAGATAGATAGATAGATAGATAGTATGATACCCCTGGCAGAAAGCAGTAATAAGTAGAAATTACTCCTGATGAAAGTGAAAGAAGAAAGTGCAAAAGCAGGACTGTAGCTGACTATTAAGAAAACAAAAATCATGACTTACAGAGGAATTACACAACTTTACTATTAATGATGAAGGAACTAAAATTGTGAAAGATTGTACATCCCTTGGCCCACTTCAACCAGAGACTGCCAAGATAAAGTTGTAGCAAAAAAGAGAAAAATTAAACTGTTGTACTTTGGACATAGAATGAGAATAAAATACAATAATGCTAGGGAAAGTCAAAGGCAGAAGCAGAAGGAGAAAAAACAGGATATGTTTTGACTCCAGGAAGGAAGGAGCAATCTTGAGTTAATAAGACCTGAGCAGGGTGGGCAAGGAAAGGACACTTTGGAGAGCATTCATGCACAGTGTCACCGTAAGTTGGAAACAACTTGATGGCACGTATCTATACCAAATACTAAGTGAAATAAGACCACTATCAAGGGTAGGCATGGCCAGGTACTTGGTGATTTATCACATCTCACAGAGGCCCACTAACAAGAAGTACTTGGAATTGCTCCTTGTCTTCACCTCTGTAACCTTGTTGTTCACCTGTCTCTTGCTCTGTGGCCAGGGGAAGTGGGAAGGACTACCAGTAGATGCCATTACTTACTTGCTTCACTAGTTCCTCCTTTCAAGCAAAACAAGCAGTACTGATAATTAGAAAGAGGATGAGGAGTAAAAACCATTGGTGACAATGGTGATAAGAAGGAGCCCATTTAGGATGTCTTGGTCCTCTGAACCTCTGAAGCTTCAAAATATATCTAAACCCAAACTTTAAAGCAGGGGAAAACTTCATATGAAAACAGAAGTAATGTGACTAAATAGTTAGGATGTCAAAGTACGGGTTTTCCCCCACCCCAGAGGAATAAATATGTTGCCGCAAAACCAAAAGGTCTTATGGCACCAGCATAAACTTTCGTGGATATCAATCCCTGTGGATATCAATTCCTCAGTGAAATCAAGAAATAGAGTCAAGAGGCAATCCTATATACCGGAGGTGGCCAGACTTGCTCAATGGAAGAGCCACTTACAGTAAACATCTGGAGTGTGAGAGCTGCAAGTGCAGCCAGCAAGGAGGCGCCTGCAGGGGGCAATATGCAGGTCCCCAGGTGTGCTCACGGCCGCCTCAAGCCACAAAATAATTTCAAAGAGCCACAGTTTGGCCACCCCCTGATATATACCCCTATTGGGCTGTATGCTCTACTGAAGTCAGTGTGGCTTAATTCAGAGTAAGCTTGCAGAGGATTGCACTGTCAGATTACTAGGAGATCAGGATATTTTGGGCACTGATTTAGTTCATGTTCAAAGATTACTAAATACCAAAAGATTCTTCCAAACTGAGAGATCTGCATTCTAGTCCCTACTTAGCCATGAAGATCCTTGGATGACTTTGGCCAGTTACTCACTCCCAGCCCAACCTATCTCATAGGGTTGTTGTTGTGAGGATAAAATGGAATTACGTAATATAATAATAATTTAAAAATAGGCAGATTCACAGGGATGAATTTATGAGCTGTCATGGGAGCATTACTGTCCACTGAAACAAATGTTCAGTTTAGAAGAAAAAAGGTACTATACTCGACTGTGTAATTATATAATTTGAATAACAAGCTAATAGTACCAAATATCTGTAGCTTGAGGGGGGAAACCTTTTCAAAATAGGCTATACAGTAATACCAATACTCAGTAATATAACTTTCTATTAAATTCAGATAGATAAAGTGTAAGTTTACTTTGGTTTATATAACAAGGAAAGGCAACACTAATTCCTCAGAACAGTGCCACAAATAAATAAATAAATAAATAAATAAATAAATAAATAAATTGCTGGATAATAGACTATTAATTGTGTTTAAGTTTAACTTACTATTTCTCCATTTTAGATTTCATCTTACTTGTGCAGAAATTTCAATTTACTTATTAACTCAAGTTGCAGCACAGTCTATACTGTTCTGTACATACAGGAATTACTGCACTGTACATTGTTTTTGTTAACAAAAGCCCAGGCTCAATGGATTGGTGCGGCTTTTTATTTTTTTTTTATTTTTATTTTTGCTTTGAAATAGTGGCCAGCTAAGTTACTTTGAGAAGATCAAAAGCAGTGGATCAAAAGCCCTTCTCTTGATGCTACCCATTTCTTCATCTTACTCTTTTGACTTCCTAAAGTGGTCTCTTCTTTTTCTGGAAGACAAAAGAAAAAATGCTCCCACTGGTACCAGTGTGGACTTTGTTTTTCTTTTGAGGATTATAGTAGGCGAGGCAATTTTATCAGGTTTGTGGCAGGGCTGGGTTAGCCCTCCTGTCCCCATGCAAGGCAATCTCAAAACTGGGATTATACACTTGTGGGCTTCAAAAAACAATTTTATCAATTAAAATATTTAATATCAGTATTTTACCAGAAAATATAGTAGGATCACCAATAATTTTCCCTGCTTAGGCCACAGATTAATCAAATAATCAGGAATACTACACATAGAAATTAGCACTGCTGTCTTGCTTGATTAAATGTTCAACATCTGTTGCTATTGGACTATGGCTATTTAAAGAGTTAACATTTCTACAGGTGACACTAGGGAGTAAAGGCAATTTACTCTGAACACTATATTAGTTACTGGCATTTCTTCTATTCTTTCATTAATATGCATGGATGGGGGGAGGAAGGAAAACACCACTCTAGGACACAATCTAAGTTCCTATCAAATTCCTGCCTTGTGCACATGCTACTTTCATGTGCAGCATTTCTCCTGTCAACACCTGACAACCTGGATCCCCTCTTGGGCAGGAGAACTTGGACTGGGTTGTGTCCTCCCCAAATAAATATAGAGGTGCAAATTTAACAAATTTTCTTGAGATGACCTCAACAATATAATGTTGGTCGGCAGAGCCAGGTCTGTGATTGTCAGTGCAATCCTTTGTGTTTACTGAGACTGACCACCAGTGCCAGCCAACTGCCAGGCAGTAGAGAGAGTTGATGTTCTATTAAGTACTTTTGAAGAGACATGTCAAAAGGCAGTATGATAGTGAGACAGAAACCATGTGATATAGGTTGTGCTACTTACTTCCCTTCATTCATTCCATTACTTCCCTTCCCATCATGCACTTGCCCATCAGAGACACTGGCTGCAGTGTACATTGTCCAAATGGTTAGTTTTCATTTTCTTTCTTCTCCCCATTTTCCTGCCACCAGCTTGACCTTGAAAATGAACACCAAACTAAACAATAAAAGCACATTGCAAGGGAGAAAGTATGGTGAAATTCCAAAAAGGCTTAAGATTAAAGATCAAAGGCACAGTAGAACAGCCAGCCGATCTAGAAAAAGTGCTAAATATAACCAAGATAATTATTTAATGAAGTAGTTTTAACATAAGTTCAGGGAGACTTTGAGCTGTTCCTATTCTTCTTTCTTTTTTGAGACTAAGTCTTTAGAAGAAGGAGTAGGGCCATGTTTAAAAGTTAAAGTATTGTCGCCTATTTATCTATCTGCAGAAAACTATGATTTATTTATACAATCACAGTTTGATTTCCAGTTTCTGTGTACCCAGATAAATACATGCTTAGAACTTTGAAAAGAAAAAGGAAACTTTCAGAAGGCTTTCCTTGTTGTTCCCCAATATTGCACTGAATCGATTGCATAAAGTATGGACAAAACAGGTGAAAATCCTTTTAAACGGTTGTTTGAAAAGCTGGAGTAGAGAAGGAAGCAGAGAAATAGTGCAGTATTAGAAACTCTCCCAAAGCTCGGTGAACCGTTCCCCAGCCTGTCTCAGGAATTAAATCTGGCATAGAAGGTAGATGTGGGAAACCAAGGAAGTAAAATCAAATCCAAGAGGGATTTTATCTCAGAAAGGAATTCCTTCATACACGGGGGGGGGGGGTGTCAAGAAATTAAGTCCAGTCTTGTCGAAGCTCAGACGTTTGATTATGATCATTGGGACTTATCTATTACCCTATTAAGTCTTTACAGTCTGTTCCAGCCTGAAGCTCCCAGCTCGGATCATTCACCCATCCTCGCGCACAGAGTACAACTGGGTGCAAATGAACCTCAGTTCCAGGTAAGGCCAGTATAGGGGGCAACTTCTCCCGAACTCCACCCCCCCTACTCACCGAAGCCCTTGGAGACAGTATGCTATTCTAGTCGTCTAAATATAATAGCTGTGCTGCTGCCAAGCTAGGATGAGCAGGCGTCCTTCCCAGCAAGGGTGTAAACTGCCGCAGCGATTCCCAAGGCTACAGTCCTATGCCTGTTTACCTGGGAGTAAGGTCTACGGAGCGCAGTGGAAGGTACTTCTGAGTAGACAGGACAGCACTGCACGTTACCGCACCGTGAGCGCACCTCACCAGAGCGTTGGCGCCTGATAACACAATCCTGGGGACAAATTCTTCCTTCCAGGACAGTTCCGGGCAGACACACGGAGAGGGTGTAGTCTCACAAGATCAGACAACTGCTTTGCCACCATAAACTTCTGCAAATCGGAGCCGGGCAAACTCATACCTCCACCCCCGCGCCTGGCCCGCCATTGCCTGCGTCGCCCGCCCTCTCCCGCAGGTCAAAACGCCCGCCACTCCTCTCGCATCCCCGCCCTCTAAGCCCGCCTTGACAACTCAGCACGTCCCTACCATCCCATCCCCGTCCGCAAGGAAGGCGGTCGACTCCGACACAGCTAGATCTAGCCATGCATAAATGTCCTATTTGGCGGGTTCCGAAGGGAAACTCGCCAACGGCAGACCACGTCCAACAGAGAATCGAAGGAACAACTCCTGGACGCTGACGGCGTTTCTTTTTACAGGAGAAAACCAACAACATGTCCTAGCTCCCCACTTTCGACTCACAACGCGCGCTCTCACATTGACACATTCACACGACCCTCCACCAGACAACCTCTCCTCAGTGACTTTCCCTACCGATACCCGCGATGCGTGTGGTCATTGAGGCTTTGCAAGCTATACACCGCCCCGCTTTGAACCCTGTCCTGGGCAAGCCGCGGGTGCTTTGCCTGCTCACGAGTTTCCCGCCAAAAGAGCCGCAGCCTCCGAGGAGAGACATACACACGCACGCACTACGCACGCGTCCCACCCGCTGGCACCGTCGGAAATTACTAGCATCCCGCCATTGCAATATGCAATGCAAGCATATTTGCAAGTGCTGCCCTGCCTCGAGAGGCTGCCTCGCTCACCCCGGTGATGACCGCGGACTCTCCCGCGGAGAGCAGCAGGAGGAGGAGGGGGACACAGAGCAGGCTCCGCATGGCGACCGCTTTTTCTCCCCCGGGCTGCGACGGCAGTTCGCTGAGCTGCAAGCCTCGGTTGGGGTTTCCCTCAGGGCAGCAGCGACGGCGAGGAGGAGCCGGGGCTGCTCCAGCCGTTTTAAAGCTCCGGGCTGCCATTCAGAGGCAAGATGAGTCACCCACCCAGCTACCCCGGCAACGCGGCCGTCGTGGGAGAGGGGCAGGCACACGCGCACACACCCCTCCTCGTTGTGGAACTGTGCCTGGCCATGACAATGAAGGCTAACAACTGGATGAGGGCTAACAGACTGAAACTCAATTCAGACAAGACTGTGATGCTATTAGTGGAGAAGGAAAGGATTCAACATGTTCTAGATGAGGTTGCATTCCTTTTGAAGGAGCAGGTTTGTACCTTGGGGGTACTCCTTGAGCTGTCTTTGTCACTTGAGGCTGAGGTGGCTTCAGTGGCTTGGAGTGCCTTCTATCGGCTTAGCTGGTGGCTCAGCTACGCTCCTATCTGGACAGAAATTGCCTGCTATCAGTGATCTATGCTCTAGTAATCTCTAAGAAAGACTACTGCAATGCAGTGTGTGTTGGGCAGCCCTTGAAGACTGTTCAGTGTTTCAGCTTGTGCAAAATGCAGTAGCCAGAGTAATAACAGGGATTAAATGGTCTGAACATATAACACCAATCTGACCCACTTGTACTGGCTGCCTATATGGTCCCAAGCCAAATTCAGGATACTGGTCTTAGCCTATAAAGCCCCACATGGTTTGGGACCATGATACCTGATGGGACATGTCTCCTAACCTTCATCTACCTGGACACTATGATCAAGTTCTAGGGCCTACTTCTGAAGGAGGCTTGGATGGTGGCAACAAGGAGAGGGGACTTTTTAGTGGTGGTTCCTCAGTTATGGAATTAACTCACTGAGGCTGACTCCTCACTGCCTGGTGCCCACTTTGCTATCTTTTTGGCACCAGGTAAAAACTTCTCTATTGCAGGTTATTCAATTAGTCAACTTCTAATTGACTGAATAGATGCTAAGATTTTTTCTAATTATAATTTTTTAATGTTATAATTTGATTTTAAATTTGTACTGTAATGTTATAATGTTTAAATATGTTTAATTCCTGTCAAATAGAAGGGGAAGAAATGGAGGTACCGACAGATTTTATTTTCCTGGGCTCCAAGATCACCACAGATGGGGACTGCAGCCAAAAAATTAAAAGACGCTTGCTCCCTGGGAGGAAAGCTATGGCAAATCTAGACAGCATACTAAAAAGCAGAGCCATCACCCTGCTGACAAAAGTGCATATAGTCAAGGCTATGGTTTTCCCAGTTGCAATGTATGGCTGTGAAAGCTGGACCATAAGGAAGGCTGAGCGCCAAAGGATTGAGGCCTTTGAATTGTGGTGCTGGTGGAGACTCCTGCGAGTCCCTTGGACAGCAAGGCGATCAAACTAATCAGTCTTGGAGGAGATCAACCCTGACTGCTCTTTAGAAGGCCAGATACTGAAGATGAAACTCAAATACTTTGGCCACCTAATGAGAAGAAAGGACTCCCTGGAGAAGAGCCTAATGCTGGGAACAATAGATGGCAAAAGAAGAAGGGGCAGCAGAGGATGAGGTGGCTTGATGGAGTCACTGAAGCAGGCGGTGTGAGCTTAAGTGGACTCCAGGGGATGGTGGAGGACAGGAAGGCCTGGAGGAATGTTGTTCATGGGGTCGCGATGGGTCAGATGCAACTTCGCAACTAACAACAAAAATATGTTTAATAAGGTGTATTTTATATTGTATTTTAATGTGTTGTTGTGAACTGTTGAGAACTTTGGCTGTTGGGCAGTATAGAAAATAAACAGTCTTAGAAATGCCTTGATTAGGAATTCAAGATCCATTAGTTGTTTTCTCATTTGGTTTAAAATAATCTATTTTAACAGTTACACCTTTTTTGGAGTTCCCTGGTGAATAACTATCCTAATTCCAGAAAAGGGAATGGCCATGGCCATGCTGTGTGCCAGCTATCAGATTTGCAGTCCAACTCACCTGCAGTGCATGAAGGTTGCTCTTAAAAAGAGATGTAGTGGTCCTAAATTGTTTATTATCAGTTTTTCACAACTGCATAGGCACCTCCATGTGTCCATTATATTTTTTTAAAGTGGTTTTTCATTCCTTAGGAATCAAAAATAGCTTAATTTTCATTCAAATTAGCTTATTTGAAGGCAAAATATACTTAGTGGGGAAAGAAAAAACTAGTCTCAAAAAATAGGATAAATACACAATTGTCCTATATAATATAATTCAATCCTTTAAAAATATTTGTAATATATATATATATTTATTTTCCGATTTATATCCTGCCTTTTTCCTACAAAGGGCTCAAGGCAGCTTACATCATTCTCCTCCTCCATCTTATCCCCACAACAACCCTGTGAGGTAGGCTGGGCTGAGAGTCTGTGACTGGCCCAAAGTCACGCAGTTGGCTCCATGGCTGTGAGCGGGGACTAGAACTCCAATCGTCTGAGACACAGTCTCACTACACCACACTGGGTCTCACTAATAATTGGTTTGTAGTTTTTAAACCTAAACTGTTCAAGACAGCCAAGGCTAAAGAGATAATATTATCTGTCAAAACAAGTGTGGAATCATAATTCAAGTATTTCTGCTTTTGCAATTTTTTTTCAACCAGGTTCTAGAGTTTATACTAAACCATTGTTTGGCCTTCAAGCTGATAATGGCTGAAAGTGGTAAAAATGACATCTTTGAATAAAGACATGAACCCCTGAAGAAAACTAGAGCAAAAGGACAATTATGTGACTTGGAAGTTCAGTCCCTGTCCACTTGAGATAGATTTGAACTAGTGTCACAGAATTAGTTGCTTATTGTAAATCCCCTGTAGCAGATCTTGCCTGAGCATGCAAATTTAAATTTCTTTCTCTTTCTTTTTAAAATAAGCACATAGGAAGTCTGTATGCTTTTGAAAATGAAGAATGAAGACAATACTTAAAGCAGTTATGCTTTCAGCTTTTATATATAATGGCAGTTTCCTCTCTCATCTGAAGGCCCATTGGCCCATTGGCTCATACTGCCTCTCTCATCCTACCTGCTTCTATGGGCCACAGCTGTAAGTATATTTCCTTCTTTGTGATACCAAACTAGATGGAGGAGAAGTCATTTATGTGCATCTTCCAGTTAGGAATTTTTGTGTGGATCACCCTAAATAATAGGAATAACTAAAGAGATAAAAACTAAGACAAGCAAAGCTCTTTGAAATTGTGTTGATGCAACATAATATTTCTCTCTCAAGTGGATTTCTGGTATCTCTTGCATCTGGCATACTCTTCCATTAAAATAATTTTTAAAAACTTCAGGTTTGGACTCAAAGCTAGACCATCTGCCCAATGTAATTTTGGAAAATAATGATATGAGTGGTATCTGTTTTTAAAAAAATATGATTAGAGGAAACGATACTCCCTCAGAGTAACAATACACCAATAAAATATTTTATTTCCTTCACTGAGAGTACAGGTTCAGCCACATGTTGCATGTAATGTTTACATAGGTCTAAATCCTGATTAATAATTCTGTGTTTCACTAAGAATATGCAATATTTCATTTGGTTATATTTTTAGTTTTTCATATTGGGCCAAATTCTGAAGCATTCATCTTTGTAAGTGGCATTTCACTTCCAAGATGGTATGAGAAGTTATTTGATGAGTGTACCTTCTGCTGTTACAGACATTTAATCTTTAATAGGTGGAACTCTTGCTATTCAATGAAATTAATCTCAGTGAGGACTATCATAACAGAAGAACTTACTAGCTTACTAATTACCGTATTTTTCGCTCTATAAGATGCACCTGACCATAAGACGCACCTAGTTTTTAGAGGAGGAAAACAAGAAAAAAAATATTCTGAATCAAATGGTTTACTAAACTATTTAATAAACTATAACAGAATACAGTAATACTGTATTTCAACCTTGTAAAGTGAACAGCAGTCAACAGTGGCATTAAGAACCATCATCACTGTCATTAACAAAAGAGAGACTTTAAAGTTCGAGTACTCTTCTAGTTTTCGTTGAACCCATAGAACTCATCATCACTAGAGTCAGAATTTATGAAGCTCTGTTGCTCACAATCACTGACACTTTCTTAGTCAGTAGTGGAATTATTGAAGGAAACCACAATCTACACCAGTTATACAAGAGCTGCTGCAGACAATTCAATAACAAATCTAAAAAAGCCAGTAATGTCCACACTGCCCTACTAGTAAATAATAGAAAAAAACTTCTGACAAAAAATGAGATATTGTGCGGTAAATCAAACACACAGCGGACTAAGTAGCCTTTGAAGAATAAACTTCATACACGAAGGTAATGCTGTTCAAATATCCACTGATCCTAAAAAAAATGTGTCTGATCAACTAACAGATAACTGATCCATGGAAAGCTTTCTGATAATCACAGGCACATTCCCCATCACTTCCCCATGGGCTTCATTAAAAGACGGGCTGCCATTTGAAAACACACACCGACCTGTGATTAACAGCTCTCACCTGCGCCGGAGGAGGAGGGCGGAGCAGGGCGCACCGAGTGCATGCCGGCCAGGTGGTGCCACGTGGTGCAGGCGGCCGGCAGCGTCCCGGGCATCGGGCACACACACATTCGCTCTATAAGATGCACAGACATTTCCCTTTCCTTTTGAGGGGGAAAAAAGTGCGTCTTATAGAGCGAAAAATATGGTAAGTCTTAGGCATGAGGTAAAGAAAAACTGATGCAAAGACAACAGCACATGTGCAGGAAGATATAACAGTTTATCCTACTTCCTTAATTTTCAGGCTATAACCAGCACTGGATATTCCGTGAGAGATTGCAATCTCTTCTTACCATGGCAATACTACTCATATGAATATGTTCAGCACTGATTTCTTAATTTTCTGACTTAGCTTATATCACCTGACTGTGGGGTTCTGAAGAGAAAGGGCAGATCCTGCAAAAACAGAGGTTTCCATGTTTGTTT